GGCCGTGTATGAGTTTCTTAAGCGGGGGATCCGCGCCCAGCTCATCTAGCAGGGACAAGATCTCACTTCGGGACACAGTGTCGAATGCCTGTGACAGGTCTAGTGCGAAAGTGATGCCGCCGACGAGACCTACAGGACATTGTCCCCGCTGCTGATCCGCTCGGGTGAGATTCGCATTGCGACAGAGCTGCCTTGCTTCCCTTAAATGCTGAACCACTCTGCTCTGTGCATCCGAAAGACCTCTCCCAGGGAGGTATGCAAACTGGGGTAGAGGCTTCATGTATGGCAGCGTGAAAGGCTCCAGGAGCTCCTTGGCCGTGCCCGCCAGTCCTTTAGCATCCGGGCGAAGAATGCCCAGCGGCCTGAGTTGTGAAGGCTTGTCAGCCGGCTTGCCCGGTTTTGGGATTAAGCAGAGATCTGCGCGAGTCAGATCGTCGTCCAGTGACTGGTCCTGCGTCAGGCTTGAACAGTATTGTGAAAGCGCCGCAGAGATCGGCTGAGCACAGAGCTTCCAGGCTGCGGCCGGTGCCGCTCCTTTCGGAACTGCCTTGCTAGGCTTGATCGAGGCAATATGTTTTGCTAACTTGGTCTGTGGCAATAGGGGCAGGAGTCCCGAATCAGACGGGAGCTGTGGGTGCGCCGCAAAGACCTTAGTTGCATACTTCCCCAGTTCATCCAGTTCGTTTGCAGGACTGAGCAGGAAGCCGTGCGCGTCCTTAAGCTGAGCTTTCAAAGCCGGTTTCCACGGCCGGAGGTGCTTCAGAGTCTGATATGCCAGGTGCTGATCGCCCTGGCTCAGAGCCTGATCAACCTCAGCAAGAAACCGTTTGGTCTGGTCCTTGCGAGCCTGCTTAACCGCCTGTTTATGCTGATCACACAGCCTCTGCCGGGCTTCATCCTCCGGCGATGGCTCCGCACTGGGGTGAGCATTGCTCCCACGTGCCGAGCGCCACATGCGTCTGGCAAGGCTCGTCTCCGGACTATCTGGCATTGCCACTGGGGTCTTAGGGAAAAACCTGGATGCGGCTTCGCCAAGGAGGCGATCCCATGACGCCGGCTGCATGTCCGGAGTGAGTCGTGCTGTAACCCACTCGAGCATGTGCTGAGCTGGCAGCGTGTTGTCCCTGACAGCCGCTTGCAGAGCAGCGGTGTCATAATGATGCTGCTGTATCTGAGGGGCTGGCAGGTTCCAGTGCCGAACTGGTTTGACAGCTGCACTGATGGGTAAGTGCCCGCCTTTCTTCCAGCTTCCAAGCGGGAAAGCTGCCAGCGGCGTAGAGTTTTTGGCAGCTCCTCCAGCAGAGACCTCCCTCGTAAGCACAAAGTCAATTTGAGTGCGCGTATCCCCTTGCTGAAACGTATGTGGCGGCTGAGGCCTCCACGTGTTGAGGGCAACCAAGCGATGATTAAGCAGAAAGTTGGTAAGCTCTGGCTCATCAGATCTCGGTTCCTGTGGGCTAATGATCTCTGGACCAACCAGCCTAGGCTGCTTTTGCAAGGAACTATTGAAATCTCCTGCCAGGATAAGCGTGTCCCTGTGCGGCACGCGTTGCACGCATCTGCTAAGAGCCTTCAGGACATGTGCTCTGTCCTGACGATTGGTCTGTACCTGCTTGGCCGGTGACCAGACGTGTTGATACACAGCAACCAGGTTGATGCGGGCCCCGTGCCAGTCAAACCTGACCTCCAGGGCTCTGCCTATGACATGTTCCTGCCAGCGCACACTTTTGGGCAGTATGTGTGGGGACAGGAAAACCATAACCCCGTCCGCGCGAGTTGTTGAGGGCTCCTTGCGGGGTGGGGTCATCTTATCGTCATTAGGCATTGCCTCTGCAGGTGACTGTTTATGGGCCTTGCCCCCGCGTTGCTTTCGTCTAGAGGCCTTCGGATCTGCAGCAGAAGCAGACGAGATGCAGTACCAGCCTGCAACACTAAATTCGGCCGTAGCCTGCCAGTGGGTCTCCTGCAGGACGAACACATCACAGGTGTGGTGTGCCTCAGTGGAGAGCCATGATTTGACTTCCGACCATTGTTGCTGGCCAAGATGGCCTGCATTCCAGGACAGTACTCGGAGAGGCCTGGTGGCCTGTCCTGCCCGAGATCGTGGTGCAAAAGACTGCTTGGAGCCCGGCTGCGGTGGGCAGTTGCCCATGCGCCTGAGAAGAGCTGGGGTCAGAACCTGACCTCGGTAAGAAACAGGCTGCTGGCTTGCAGCCACCTGTCGGCAAACATGCTTGAAAGAATTCTTCCTGATCTGAGAATAATTTTGTGAGTGCACTGGGAGCAGCGCCATCCGCTATTTCGTCACAAGGCAAGCCGAGTGACTCCCTCCACCACGCGGCTAGTGGAAACCCTACCGCCTGCCCAGTGGGCCCGTGTTGAGACAGGGTACTGGGTCCAGGAATTGGGACCTGGCGGCTCAGACGCAAACTGTTGGCACATGGCACATGGCTCAGCGTGAGGAACCAACCCTTAGTCGTTCGGAGAGAGGCCTGTTTGAGACCTCTAGCAACGCAAGGTTGGAATCCAGAGCCTGTTCGAAAGCCAGCGCGAAACTTCCAAAACGTCTGAGCCGTGGCGGCTACTGCTACTACTACTACTACCACTACTACTACTACTACTACTACTACTACTACTACTACTACTACTACTACTACTGCTACTACTACTACTACTACTACTACTACTACTACTACTACTACTACTACTAGTACTACTGCGTCTTGCACCAGCACTAGCACTAGTACTCGTACTCGGCCTAGCGCTAGGTCTAGGCAAAGTGCTAGTGCTGCTGCTGTGCGAATGCTGGGGCAAGTACGAGAAAAAGCAGTAGTCGTCGTAGTGGCAGTGGTAGTGGCAGCAGCAGTATCAATAGCAGCAGTACTAGTTAGTATTAGTTAGTATTAGTTAGTATTAGTTAGTATTAGTTAGTATTAGTAGTAGTAGTAGTAGGAGCAGGAGTAGGCGTCCGGGTCGGAGTCGGAGCGGGAGCAAGAGCAGGAGCAGGAGTAGTAGCCGTCGTCGCCGTACTAGTCGCAGTAGCAGTACGAGCAGAACGACCAGTTGCAGCAGCAGCGGTAGCAGTAGCAGCAGTAGCAGAAGTTGTAAAAGCAGTAGAAGATAGTAGAAACAATGGAATTAGTTGTAGAAGTAGTAGCAGTAGCGTAGTGGTCGTAGCAGCAGTAGCCACCGCAGAAGTGAAGAGCAGTCAGTCGTATGCTGAGGAGCGAGCGGTCGTCGTCAGTGGCAGTGAGCACTAGCGTGGCAGTCCATAGTCGCGTCCGTAATCGTAGTCGTATCCGTAGTACCAGTAGTAGCAGCAATAATCGCAGCAGTGGTAGCAGCGGCAGCACTAGCCCTCTAGCACTAGCAGTAGCAGCGGCATGCAGCAGCAGTAGCGAGTAGTAGCAGTAGTAGTAGTAGTCGTCGTCGTCGTAGTAGTCGTAGTAGTAGTAGTAGTGGTAGTGGTAGTGGTAGTGGTAGTGGTAGTGGTAGTGGTAGTAGTAGTAGTAGTAGTAGTAGTAGTAGTAGTAGTAGTAGTAGTAGTAGTAGTAGTAGTAGTAGTAGTAGTTGTGTTGTTGTTGTTGTTGTTAGTAGTAGTAGTTAGTAGTTAGTAGTTGGCAGTTAGTTGTTAGTTGTTAGTAGCTGGGAGTTTGCAGGTTAGTTGTAGTAGTAGCAGCAGCAGCAGCAGGAGGAGGAGAGTAGTAGTAGTAGTAGTAGTAGTAGTGGTAGTGGTAGTCGTGGTTAGGTAGGAGTAGTAGTAGTAGTAGTAGTAGTAGTAGTAGTAGTAGTGTCGTAGTAGTAGTAGTAGTAGTAGTAGTAGTAGTAGTAGTGGTAGTGGTAGTGGTAGTAGTGTAGTAGTGGTGGTAGTAGTGGTAGTAGTAGTAGTAGTTGTTGTTGTTGTTAGTAGTAGTAGTTAGTAGTTAGTAGTTGGCAGTTAGTTGTTAGTTGTTAGTAGCTGGGAGTTTGCAGGTTAGTTGTAAGTAGTTAGTAGTTAGTAGCTGGGAGTTAGCAGCAGCAGTAGTAGTAGTAGTAGTAGTAGTGGTAGTGGTAGTCGTGGTAGTCGTGGTAGTCGTAGGAGTCGTAGGAGTCGTAGGAGTAGTAGTAGTAGTAGTAGTAGTAGTAGTAGTAGTAGTTGTTGTTGTAGCAGTAGTGTGCAATTTGCACGGCAGCAGCAGTAGTGGTGTGTCACTGCTGGAATTGCGGCTTGTGTTGCCTCATTCTCTGGAAGAGCTTGTCACAGGGTCTGACTACGTTCATGAGGACATCTGGGGTTACTCGCCGGTTTCTGGAAGCACAAGGCCCCCGCCACGGGTGCTGTGGAGCTGTTGGCAGCGCTCGGCTCGTGGTATGCGTGAGAATTCTGCTTGCCTCGCCGCAGGAAGGCAACATCTTCAGCTGTAATCTCTGTCAAACATTGTCGGCATGGATGCGTGCTGCACGCCGCCACACCCGCAAGTCTGGCAGGCAACATCTTGAGGTCATGGCAGCAACGAGTCTTCTAGGAGAAGACGTACCTGGCAGCTGAGGGTCAAGGCAGTTACTTGTAATTTTAGATTGGTGTCCCTGAAGGACGAGGTAAGTGCTGCAGAGGCACACGGAATCAGGCCACCGTCAACAACAAGTCCCGAAGCCATGGAGGAACAAATGCCTGTGTAAGTAAATTCAGGGCTTTCCTGCAAGCTAAGTTGGCGAAGGGGATGTTTGGCTCAGGCTTCGGCGAATGGAGGCTCGTCTCTGCGGTGACGCGCTTGGACCGGTAGACGCAAACGCTGCAGGCGCAGGGCACCAACTTTCTGTAGGTCTTCAGGTCGAGCATCAAGCACACATTCGAAATGCGTACACAGCCAAACCCGACACGAAAGCGAGCTGTAGTACAGGTTTGACAGGAGGTTTCGTTGACTCACAGTTTTCAGGGCATTTGGGCGTCCTTCCAGCAGGCTGGACTCGTCTCCAGCCGCCCCACTACGCTGGCGAGACTCGAAATGACTCGAACGCTTTCAATTCAAGCTGTTGGCAGGGCGAGCATGAGCCATGCTCTCCACTACTTCTTCAAGATCTTTCGCACAGGGAGCTGTGACTGTGCAGGACCTGCCTGCCCAATCTTGGAACTTCACCTTGTAGCGGTGCAAGAAATTTCGTGGGCACCAGGATAGGTCCGCTGCAAAAGTGCCTTCGCTCGCATACTTCCCATCCGAAACTGTCGGATGGCCCGCATGCGCCAGATGGCAACGGATCTGGTGCATGCGGCCGGTGGCAATGGTAATGTTCACCAAGCTAACGCTTTGCGCACCGAGAGCCGAAAGGTGCCTGCGGCTGAGGAGAACGGTGCGGCAGGGCTTACCTCGCCCTGGCACGGAGACCCGGCCTTCCAAGCTCAGCTGTGAAGTGAGCTCCTTCACTGTACTCGATACCCAGCCATGACAAAGAACCAGGTAAAACCTCTCCAATATGCCCTTTGCAAGTTGGAGCTGCAGTTCGTGGAAGGCCTCGAAAGTCTTCGCAACCACGAGTAGTCCAGAGCTGGGCACATCCAGCCGATGCAAGAAGCCAAAGTCTCGCTGCGAATCAGAGAGTATGGGCAAATGCAAGTGATGCCTCTGGATCCAGTGGTGCAGTTGGAAATCGCCATGCATGTCGTGCACCTCCCACCCAACTGGCTTGTGGACCACAAACCGATCCCCCGCATCAAGATGGCAGCACGGCCGCACAGTGGTTGGAGCGGCGCTGCACGTCCCGAAATCACTGAGCGGATGAAAGCGCCGGACCCCGCTGTGGGCATCGAGACGCCTTCCGTGGTCACCGACAAAGGTGGAAGCAAGCCTGCCCAAAGACGCTTGAAGCTTCCCTGCCAGGGCGCAGCCCCCAAGCAGGCCAAGCACCTCTTCGACCTTCACAGTGCCCGCCAGGCTCAAGTCTGAATTCTCCAATGTCAAGCGTCTGCATGCCTCCTGCTGAAGTGTTTCCAGAACTTCGACACTATGTTGCAAGTCACAAAAACTCCATGCAAGTATCATCAATTGCTCCATGGTGAAGTCACGAAGATTGTGTTTGACAAGACTGCCCAGTTTTCGTTCAAGGTTCTTTCCGACGGCCCCGAGGGCACTTGCAGCCCAACAGACTGCAGCAACTTGGGCAGCGGGGACTGAGCCGGGCTTCGCAACGAATCGCAGCGCGCGGACGCAAGCCCTGTGTATCTTTGGAGGATCCTGTAAACTCATCTTAGCAAGCGCCCAGAGAGCGAAAGCAGGATCTCCATAACTTTGCCTCAAAAGTTCCTGCCCGGAGTGAAGCTCCTCTGCTGATTCACATGCAAGATAAGCAGTTCGATAGCTGACAGCATTCGGAGTACATCTTATCAGCGACATGCACCTCAGAGTCTCCAGACATCGCTTCCATTGCTTGCCCGTTGCACAGACACTGCTAAGGGATGTCCAAGCCACGACGTCCAGCTGGATCTGCTCCTCTCGAAACAGATGCAGCGACCTCAAAGCCTTGTTCCAGCACCCAGCCGCGTCAAGCGAGACCGTCATCGCACTGCATGAGATGTGATCTGCTTCGATCAGCTGTCCTTGCATGCACCAAACCATTCTCAGAGCCTCCGGCCAGCGCCTGACCTCTCCGAAAGCGGACGTGGCGGAGTTTTCAGCAATCAGGCTCGACTGCACTGCATTGAGCTTCATCTCAGCCAATAGAAAAACAGTTGCCTTCCACTGACTGCTTTTCTCACAGGCTCCCAAGCTTGCTCCCCAGCTGATAGTGTTCGCTTGTAAGCGTTGCTGCCGCGACTCCTGCAAGAGGCTGCATGACCTCTGCCACTTTATGCGCCTGGACGCGGCCACAATCGTAAAGCTCGCCAGATCCGGTGAAATCCCCACACCACGCAGATGGTACAGACGTTCCAGCGCTCTTCTCCAGCCCTTCTCCCTGCTAATGGCTGAAAGCTCCCGGTTCACGTCTGGGATCAATCGCCCATCTCGACAGCGCGTCATCATCAGCACTCTGAGCTTCCCCCGAAAAAAAACGTGTGAATAAACTGCATGCTTGGGACTTCAGAATTCAGAAAAGCCGGTTCTGCAAGATAGAAGTCAATTGGCACACGGTCGATCCGAATCTCGCTGTTCTCGACTGACAAAGACTGCCTTGAGAAGTTCTCCCGCACTTCCTTTTTAACGTCAGGCTGTCGTCCCGGCATGTCAAACTGAAACCCACACCTCAACCTTACGACGACTTATGTTGGGCACGATGTGCCTATGGACCGACCGGAACCAGGCTGGTGACTTGTCGGCGGCGAGTCTGAAACTAGTGCAAGGTTAAAGCCGACTGCTTGTGCTGGCTAGCGTGACTAGCATGTGCCGATTGCATCTGAGAGTCCAAGCCTTGCCAAACAGGTGACACGTGATCGAGCTACTGTGGACATATCGCCACAGCATCACCGGTGCCCTTCGGGTGGCGGGATAATGCCTCAGGTTCTGCCAACTGCAATATTTCACGAACAGATGTCTTAGCGATACCCGCAAGCAACCGCTGGTTGCGGGTGCATCTGAAGCAGCAGCTGCAGCTACTAGTATAGGTTTCTGGAGGCACCCTTCCTGTCTGAGGCGGTGCCTTGCAGGCTGGCCTGCGATTGAAAGCTAAGATGCCAGGCGAATTTGCCACGAGGACGCTTACGCGAGGCGGTGCAGCACATGGACCTGGGAGACACAAGGATGCTGCCGAGACCGGACTATCAATGACATGGGATTTGAAGTTTGCCTATTGACTGCTGCGACTGCTTGCCAAGGCCCGCTACACCCCGCTGAGTGACGATGATGTCACTGAGACCGCCGACCTTAGATACTCCACCGGAGCCTCGTGATTTTGCAACAAACTTTAGGACAAACTAAAGGAGCTCCGTCAACGTGTAATGTAATGGAATCCGCCGCATTCGGCGAAGTTCAACACGTGACAGCCAGTAGCTCCCGATTCCATCAAGAGCTTCCAGCTGGGAGCTCGAATGCTGCCGCATCGAATTCCTTGTCAGCTTTACAGGCAAAAGCTGGGCAAAGTTGAGCTTCGTCTCTTTCTGAAAGGTTTGTCTTAAGTGATCGCCAACTGACTCCCCGATCTGCCTTCCCCTGCTGGCCCTGCGTGATCCATCCTGAGCACCAGAGGCAATCCATGGGGAAATCCGTTCGACTCGTCGGGCCAACACGCTTCTTTCGACTCGTCGGGCCTAAATCGGACAACGATCCGGCCGTCGCAGACTTGCAGTCAGAATGTTCCTGCACAGGTAGGGCCGGTCATGTCACAAAGCGCTCCTTTGCGGGTTCCCTGCCTTCGCGAGCTCTGCGAACTTCGCCGTCAGGCGCTTGTTGGCGCCGGCTTCTGGCAGCACTGAACTTTGCATGACTGTCTTGACTATGCCCCCATGTGCCCCTTTGGTGGATATTATGGAAACCGCTTTTGCAGGCCCTCTTCGAAGAACATCTGACCAAAGGAGCCATACTCGAAAGTGAGGACTCTGGCAGCATCTCAAAAAAAGGCTCAGGAAGCAATCAGAACACAGCGAGACAAGATGCAGACCGCTGTGTGGCCAGGGCACCTGGACCGCTGGTGTAGACTTGGTGCAGGACCTCACCGTCAGAACACGACGTGAGATCATGCGGATATCTCCATGGAAGCATTTGGCAGGCTTCTGGAGTTGGTGCACCAAGAGAGCTTGTGGCCTCTAACAGCTTCAGGAGCTGTGTTTCTGCATCTGCCTGCCGGACCGGCCCAAGCGGAAAGTGTAGACTCAAACACAGGCTCTGTCGTCCTAGCGCATGGTCTCACGGAGGGCTAGAATGTATCTTATGTTGCAGCCATGAGGGCCTGTGTCCGGTCTGCTGGGGCAGCTCTTCGCGCCTTGCCAAGGAACAGAAACTTCAGAAGGCTTTCTGGTGGCGAATCACTGAGCTTAGCCACTGATTCAAGTGAATTCGTGGGGTCAGACTGCAAACAGGGCCCCTACCAGCACCGAAACCCGAACGCTTCAGATGCCCTTGCAGAATCAGGAACCTCCCAAGCCTCAAAGCACAGCAGTATACTTAGTGCGAAATCATCCTTAATCAGTCCGAAATCAGGGAATGAAGGTGCCACTGCCGTGAATGAAAACTGCTTTTGCAAGCAGCGGGCTGTTCACAGCCTTGGACTCTCATTGTGGCGTGTGCCAGCAGGGGAGTCTCGCAACATCTTGACAGATTCAGACGGCTCGCGGCCTGCGGATCGGACGGAGCAATGCCACTAGCTGGCTGGCCTCAGGAAGGCAAACGAGAGTCAACGAAGGTTTCCCGGTGCAGTTTGCTGAGCTGAGCACATTTTAGAAGGATGTGTGCGATTCGGATCCTGCAGGCAAACAGCGGTGAGAGAAACTTAGACTCAAACCACAGCTGCTCCACCGTCCTGGACGGTGGCTTAACCGATGGCAGGATTCTCCTTAGATCGTTCTTCATGGAGGCAGGCGATATGGAAGCTGAAGTTCGCCTCCCTTTGCCAGACAAGTCCTCAGAAGCTGAGCTTGCCTCCCATCTGCGGTCTTCAGTCGCTTGGCGGCTTGCGCCTGCATCACCCAAGCTGCTGGACTCAGGGGCCCAGGGGCTCACGAGGCACGAAGGCCTGGTCTGCTGCTTGGGTGAGAATGTCGTCATTGACATCGACAAAAGCTGCCAATGCCTCACTTTCCAATTGACGAGAAATCTTCTGTGCTTCAACTTTTTAACCCGGCCAAGCACTACTTGCCAGCGGCTGCTGAGCCAGCATGTTGAGCTCGGAACCCCGACGGCTCTCGCCTGGCTTACGTTCTGGTTGCTGGCGACCCGAACCCGCGATTCCAGCCATGAAGTGGCAAGAACCTGCCTGCTCCGCGGTCGACATTTCTTTTTTCCTATTGGATGCCGACGCACCCTGAGCAACACCTGCGGCAAGGATTCCAGAAGCGAGAGTCTTCCTGAACTTTGCCATCACTGCAAAGCCAAGTGCCGGGCGCAGACAGGCTGCCTTTGGCTTGCCTGTGCATGAGAAGACCCTGAGAAGAGTCTGAGGTCCGGTCGGGGCAAAACCCTGGTCGTGGGCAAAGCCTATGCTTTTTCGATGCATGGGCAGGCATCTTTGGAGAAGGTCCTTCTTTGTGTCACGCTCTTGAAGCGGATTCACAGCAAAGAGAGCTTCACAAGCCCTCGCATGCACGGCACATTAGCTAAGAGAATTTATTAAAGCAAGTTGATGAACGTGTCATACAACGTAAAGAATAAGCATGCCTGGGGAGCATAGTACAGCGCCCGTTCAGCGCCTCCGACAAGAAAGCCGTCCAGCCCTTTTGAGGTCCAGATGTTCATCGCCGCGCCCTTAACTAAGTCAATCACACTCTCCTCCTTCTCCGACTGATCTTGTATCTCGGTCATGACCACGGTGGAGATGTTGTCCACTGGAACTGTTAGCAGGCCCGCACACGCACCCGCTAAGAAGCCCCAGACCAATCTCTGGGCAAACAGGTTAAAACCTAGGGGCTCCAAATATTCTGGCGTGAACTCCTTGAAGAACTCGAAGAAAACCAGCTGCAGTGTTCCATAAGGCACATCGCGCACTAAAATCGCAGTCCAGGAGGCCAGGTAGTATCTGGCAGCCCCTGGCCTGGAAAAGACGATGTCAAAGGCTTCCTCGAAGCCTTTGGCGTAGCCTGGGTTCTTGTTAAGGGATTTTAATCCAGTTACCATAAGAAGGAAACCATACTGTTTACTGCAGACCCCTAATATGGTAGCTTAAATTAAATTCCTCAACCTCTAAACCCTTATAGAACCTTTAGTGGGGCCCTAAATTATGGTAACTTAGATTCAACTCCTTAACAAGAACCCAGTAGCCAGCTTGCACCTGCTTGTTCATCAGCTCCTGCAGGGCATCTGCCCGTCTTGGGAAGCAAAAAGCCTATCTCGAAGATTTCATCACGTCTTCGCGAGTAAACCCTAAACCCTAAACCCTTCAACCCTAAACCCTTAAACCCTCAAACCCTAAACATTAAACATTAAACCTTACAGCCTAAACTTGCCTAAACTCTAAGCCCTAAACCTTAAACTTCAAACCCTAAACCCTTGAACCCTAAACCTTAAACCCTAAAGAGACGAGGCACGAAAGGGACGCGGACCGTCGACCCGAGAGCATCGGCCACGGCTCCTGCTGGGACCATCGCGGCGAAGCGCAGGGCCGTGGAGTTCGCCAAGGTCCCGTTGAGAAGCCTCAGGTACATGATATTATACTATAAGGGCTTTCTTTTCAAGCAAGAAGCGCTCTTCTACTGTTTCCTCGGGGTGTTCAGTCGACGTCTTCACCAAACCAAGTCAGTCGCCGCTGTACGCCTCGCAATAAGTCGCTTGCGCGTGCCGCATCCCCTTGCATTACTTGAACTGACTTTGGTTCTTCGATGGCGCTGGCACAATTCGGAACCAATAGAATGCCAATGACCGACTTCATGTGCACATTCGCTTTCTGCAAGGCAGTTTTCACCTCATCAGAATTGTTGGCTATCTGTTGAGCTTTGCTTTGGCAGGTTGCTGTACTCGTAGCTCCAGGTACATCCACAAGAACTAAATCATCTTGCTTGGTCTTGAACCAAATGTTGACGCCCTTGTGACTGCCAGCCTTGCCACCTTCTGACAACGCGTGGTGCATGACGTCATGCTCCATGTTGCGGATACCATCAGTGCAAGGTGTTCCCTTCTTAGTAAAGATCTTGGCGCTCTTGCCGGCAACTTGTTTGATGCCATGTTCAAGCCTTTGACACTGGAACTCATACTCGTTAAGGGCATCACCCCATCCAAAGCGACCGCATCTGTGGCTGCCTCGCACGCGAGAGTCCAAAGGTAAGCACGCTCCAAGAGCTGCTCATCACACCAGTCAGGCCTGGCAGCCATAGCTGATTGGCGAAACAGGTTCTGTGCTGCTTGATGTACATCGAAAGCATCATCCTTGGTGTCACGGACCGCCATCAACATCTCGCTTGGAAGGCTCAGCTTCCTGTTGTCCAGCGACACAACGCCGGGACAGCTCAAGCCATCTGCCTCGGAATCATCCATGCCCATCCTTTCGTTGGTAAGCTCAGCCCAAAACTTTTCATGGCTCTCGTAAACTTGTTCTCAAGCTTTCCTTCCTTCTCAAGCTCTTCCTGAATGCTGCTAGAGGTCTTCCGTAACTCGCTCCGATCATCCTGTTTGATGTGGAGTTGGTCAAGTTGCTGCCCAAGCAAAAGGCTGAGCTTGACGCGCAGCGTAGCAAGCAGTCGCCGTTCATTGCCGCCGTTGGGCTTTGCACGCAGCCTAATCTTCGGCAAGCCTGCCGCTGTGGCTGGTGCCGTGTCTGAAGCGTTGAAAGTCAGCAGTGAGCTCACATCGACCAACATCATGGGGATAGGAAATCTGCAGACCTTGGAGGAGCCCTGCGCAGGCAGATCCGGTGGCTCGAGGTACTCGTAGGTGGCAATCACCCGACACCTCCCTTGCAATGAGCCAGCCAGCTGCATCGCCCCCCGCCGGAAGTTTGGAGAGTCACTCATTGAGCGGTGCTCGTCAATGTCGAGGAGGAGGCGTTTGCTTCGTTTGCTCTGATTTCTTTGCAGGAACTTCTCCACCTCATCCGTGAAGTTTGCCTCTATCTTCCTCAAGCTTGGCAAAGGACTGGGCAGTTGCCATTCGCTGTCATGATACTCTCCATTCATCTGCCTCCTGAAGCACTGAAGCATGAAGTCAGCGCCTGCACGGTCCAACCATCTCCGGGACCAGGGTAATTAATAAGCGACTGAGCCAGCGCAGTGTGAAGCGTAAACCAAACAGTGGAGAGCTGTGACGATTCTGCCCGTTGTTGGCAAAGGGCATGTAGAGATAATGGGTGAAACTGGTCGGGCTGCCGCGCTCCACACTTTGGCAGAACATTGGCAGGATGGCGGCGGATTTGCCACGCGTACTGGGGGCTGACAGGTAAGCCACTTGATCTTTTGTTTTGGTGACTTGTTCCAAGCGGTCCACTGCTGTATCCAAGTCTTTCTCATTGCATAGAAATGGCACACGAGCAACTGATGATGCACACAAGCAGCAACAAACAGGCAATCTTAAGAAGGCGTGACGGTCGATTCAATTGCTTTCGGCGAAGCCTCAGACGAGGCCCCATGGTGTCGCTTGAAACCAACACTGGCAGCTTGAGCAAAAAATACTTGATACTACAAGAGTTTAGGGTTTTGGGTTTAAGGTTTAGGGTCTAGGGTCTAGCAGCCTAGGGTATAATTTATTATGCTATACGGTTTACGATTCAGGGTTTGGGGTTTCAGGTTTAGGGTTTAGCAGCCTCAGGTACAGCATGGTATGCTATAGTGCCTTTGTATGGTATACTATAGTACATTGTGGTATACTATAGTACCTTATAGCGCCTTATGGTACCTTGTAGTACATTATACTACATGATAGTAGATAGTATGTTATAGTATACTACAGTAAAGCTCTCAGCTCTTGGTCTTTTCGGGCTTCGACTAAGGCTGCTTGCTCCGCATTTTCCCTGCAAGCCACTGGAGCAGGAGGTTGAAGATGGCCCTCTTCAGAAAGTTGAAGGTGCCAAGCAAGATCGATGCGTTGGGTGCCTCCAGTAATCGGGTGGATGTCAAAATTAGGGTCCCTTTTTGGGCACCCTAAATATTAGGTGCCGTATTATAATAAGGACCCAAACAGGGACCATAATTTCGACAACCACCCAGGTGGGATTCTAGTCTTGGCAAGGCAGTATCATCCCCACATACTTTGAGCAGCCTCCCACAAGCCGGCTGTGAACCCGGCCTCCCTCCCCAAATTTAGCAAAAGGCCATCGAAGAGAGCCAGTGGTCCACCTTCCTCTGGGCTGGGCAGCGCCGTCCGCCCAGTTTGGAGCCGCACCTCGCAGGTGGGCTCGCCGAAGCAAAAAAAACAACAGTCGCCAGGAGGGCCCTGAGTTTTGAAACACAGCCTTGGTGGAATCGATGGGATAGACAATCGTGCAGGCGATGAGGCTTGCGACAAAGCCGCAGCCGATGTCCTTCACGAGCTGGTCCGAAGAGCTGCTTGTCCTGCGGCGAACCCATACAGTATCCTAAAGTCCCGATCATCCAACGGGAGCCACGAACAGGGAGCCGAATCCTCAGACACCCTGTGGACGCTGAACCAAAATGCCGCGACACTTGCCTTCACTGGACATTTTAAAACCCCTCTGCTGCTGCCCTGGCCCTTTGGTCCTCGCAATCCAGGAGTAGTTGAAAGTTTTGACCTCTGCATCTTGCAGCTCTCTGTTGTAGGTAAGGCGCACGATGGCAAACCTTGTTTAGGCGAGGCGGCTGAGGCGGCTGAGGGTCGGGACTTTCGGCCCGATTCAAAAACCATTCACCCCGGAAGCAACCCGAAGCTGAAGCCTCAAGAGACTGAAGAGTAAGGATATCTGATCTCATCGAGAGGACTTCGGCTTGCCATCGATGCGCGCCACCCACAAAACTCGTCCCGTCTTCCCCTGGCCACTGCGGACGGGCTCTTGATTTTGGGATGTGCGTCCAGGGCAGCTCGGATTTCCAGATTGTTTGCCATTGACTTGGCCCTGCTTTCGAAAGCTTGCGCCAGTCGTCATCATCATCATCATCTCCAATATCATGATGATCAGTTACGTCGTATATAATCACGAGATTAGACAGTTTCGCACTCGGAACAACAGACATCAATATTCACAACGGCTGCAGTCGCGGAAGCTCTAGCAATGGCAGCAGCGCAAAAAGAAGCTACTACGTATTGCCACTGCTAACATCCGTTTTTACTCTTCGCAGTGGCAGTTCCTAGGTCCTAGCATTTACTCTTCTCAGTCTTACGACTTACGACGTACTACTGTAATAGCAAGAAGACGAACTCTTATGACGAAAAGAAGCCCACAAAGAAGCAGCACAACTGCAACTAACTACAACAGCAGCTGCTACTCTGCCTCCTCCTGCTGCGGTCATGGTCATACTACCATCACACCAATCATGATCAAGTCGGAACTGGCAACATTCCACATAAACATGATATACTGATATACTCATTATAACCAAGACCAGCAAGCACAAGAGATGGGATCGAAGGCCACAGTGACTGCACGCCCTGAATAAAGAGCTAATAGAATAGGGCTTTGGGGCCGATTATACTATAACAGGAACCCCAAAATAGTAGATTCTACTATAACTACAGTAAGGAACCCCCAAAATAGTAGATTCTACTATAACTACAGTAAGGAACCCTCCAAAATAGTAGATTCTACTATAACTACAATAAGGAACCCCCAAAATAGTAGATTCTACTATAACTACAATGAGGAACCCCCCAAAATGGTAGATTCTACTATAACTACAGTAAGGAACCCTCAAAAATAGTAGGGTACTAATTGAGGCCCCAAGGACCTTGTCGGGCCCCAGGAGAATGACCACATCATCGCGCACGAGAGGCGGCTCCAGCTCTGGAGGCTCCTTGGAAGTTTTGCAGAACAATGGGGCTCAAAATCTTCTAGTTTATTATAGTATGGTATGGTAATTTACAGTAAAAAATGTTTATTGAAGTATTTTATTATGGTGGTATATCGTAGCTCTTAGGTATCTTCTTGCGGGTATAAAGGAAGGCTTAGGCAGGGCGTGGCTTCGGGCTTTCTGGCGAGGGTGCGTTAAGCACCATGGACATATTGCGATAAGAGCTTTGGAGAGCAGGGCAGCGTCCAGGGTTCAAAGTCGAAGGCTCTCTGCTTTAAGATGAGTCTCGTACTCGATTTTATCCAGGCTGACAATCGCGGCAGACTTGTCTCCTTCATAGCCTTCGTACAAGTCTCCGGCCTGCACACAAGCGTTAAGAGTGCGCGGCGGCAACGGTCATGCTGTCTGCCACCACCACCACCACCACCACCAGCTACGACTACGACTGCGACTACTCCTGCTTCTACTGCTGCTGCTGCTGCTGCTGCTGCTGCTACTACTACTACTACTACTACTACTACTCCTGCTACTACTACTACTACTACTACTACTACTACTACTACTACTACTACTACTACTACTACTACTACTACTACTACTACTGACTACTGCTACTACTACTTCGACTACAAAGACGACGACTACTACTTACTAGACTATTCCTACCACTACACTTTTGCTTTAATCCCGCTGCTGCTACGACTACATTACGGTTATTAAGACTGCTGTTACAGCGAGTTTTCACTTCACACATGTATTGATAAAACTATTGATGAGGATGGGGCTGACGATGACCTCAGCATTGCTACAATCATGAATGTCATGATGACTCTGGCAAAGATTGTTCAACGATTCTTGAATCTTTGCGCTGCCATGCTTGTTTCCCAAACCCCTAAACCCTAAAGCTCCTAAGCCCTGAACCCCGAGCCCTTGCTCAGCACAAGGCCCCGCCTTCAGGTATCTGTCGTAGGACAAACTCATCAGAGCGCTTGCTTCCTCAGCCCCTGAGTTGCAAGGATACTCTGGTGGCTTTCGGGATCCTCTGCTAGCATGCGAGGTTGGGAGGCTTAGGGAGGAGGGCTTGGAGTGCTAAGGTTTGCGGCAAAACGCTGTGCAAAAACATCTTGTTTGGCGAGCTCATTTCGACGTGTCTGCGGGGCTACACTAAGGACCAACGTGCTGAAGGCCACGTTGGTTTAGGGCGTAGGGCTTACCGTATCGTTTCTTTTCTGGATGGTCACCAAGTTTGAGCCTGGGGACTGGATAAGTTCTTCTCTGCCACGGCCTCTTCCAGCTCCCGCACATGCCTGTAAAAGGCCCCCACTTCGTAGCGGAGGGAAAATCGAAGCGACTGATCCACTGGTGAGTCGCTGGGGAAGGCGGAGTCGGTGTACCTCGTGAAGACCTCGGAGACTCTCGGATGATACGATGCCAAAAACGGGCTGGGATGTGACCCGTTGGGCTGAAACAAGCGGCTGGCAAGTAGGCTTGTAGCAGATTTGGATAGATTGCCAGGTTCTGCCAGTCCTCGTCGTAAACATCTTGCTGCAGGTCCGCCAAGTCTGCAGCAACTCCACGTAAGCGCTTGAGAACCTCACATGGTCTGCTCCATGCATAGCCAGCATTTGGCTATCTACATCTACATCGTCACCGAATCTGTTCGAAGGTTGTTTGGTTCTTCAAGAGCTTTGTGAATTTGCAGGCAGTCGTTCGGGGAACCCGTCCCGTCAGTGAATGAGGGCTTGGACAACCCGAAGCATGAAGCTGTCCTCAGGGCTTCTGATGCTACACTGCCGCACCCCGTCGTGCAAAGCGCTCGTGTCAGACATCGACAGGAGATATATCACGTTTTATCACTTCATCAGAGGCATCCACCCCTCGCAACAGCCAACTCCAAAGGATATAAAGCAGGACAGCAACGCAACAGAGAACAAGGAAAACGAAGAAAATCACACAGGCTCTTTCTGCCATGCCCACTGAAACCAATTACCGAGGCTCGGCTCTGGGGACTCGCCGCCACGCAGCCTGGGAACATGGAGGACCTACACCGACCTACTTAGGTTCGGCTGGGTGAAGGGCAGTTCAGGGTACCGGTGGGGGTGCAGGCAAACAACGGGGCTAACCACATAGCTCACCCTACTTTAGCATGCTCACGGAAAAACCGCCATTTCGACACTGAATCCATGTAAGACGGTACGGAGTGCGCAGCATCACTCACTATGAATGACAGCAGTACTCAATGCCAACAGCCATCGGCGAAACCGTGCCAGAGAGGAATCGGGACAACTGGGTCCCTGCAAGCACTTGAGCCTTCTCATCCGTTCGGAGGGCAGCGCGCCACTCCGGCTTCAAAAGTGCTCCTGTGGCTCGGTGTCGGATTTACGAGACAATGTAGCCGCTCAGGAAAGGAAGAAAGGAAGCCGCCTGCCCCTTGAACCTGCCCCGATCATCGCCGAGGATCGCCAGTCTGGGAAGGCCGAGGCAACTGTCTGGGAGGACGTGGTCGGGGACCTTGCATAAGAAAGGGTCGGGCACGTGGGCTCGGGTTTGGGCGCGTTTGTCATGGCTCACTGGCAGGAGCCTCGCGGACGAGAAGATGAGGCCCGTCGGAGCTTCTTACAGCCTACACGAGGAGGAGGCCCTTCTGAAGAATCCGATCCGAGCTGCTGCATGGTTGCAGCCCCCACGTCGGCAGTGGCGCTGCTTGCCAGCAGGCACCCGGCGAGAAGCATCACAGCAGCTAGATGGAGTGGCCTGTAGGGCTCAGAATGGCTCAGGGAGCACAGCCACACTCAACACAAATCACTTTGGACAAGCACCCCGACACCTTCCCAAAGTAGTTTCCGAAGCCGCCTGTTGCGGCTTCGCAAAGACTTCTTCATCAGGTCTTCTCGACAGTCTAGGCTGATCCTTCCGGGTGTTACCTTTTGTCTGCGCCGATCGGGCCAGATCCACAAAAGCCTCTGGCAAGCTTACAGCGCACAGGCTGCATAGGAGCAGTGCAGCTCCGCATCCCCGACTTCGAGGCATCCTTGCATTGCCTGCCCTTCGAGCCTAAATGCCAAGGCAGAGCCTTCGAGCACCGGCTGCACGTCTACCACACAGACGGAAACTCGAGCGTTTCAAACCTTCCGAAAGCCAAAATGTGCTGATCACGAGGTAGGGGCCTTTGTGCACCGAGACAGCCTCAGCAATTTGAGCCTCGGTAACTTCCGACCTCGGCTGATTCAGTCTATGCACGGCTCTACACGACTATATGTATGCAAGATCTCGCGGTCGTAGATGGGTTCAGAGGTCGGTTTGGCTCCACGTTTGCAACGATGCGGTACGGTCTCTTCGGGAAGACATCTGGCGGGCTTAGCCCATGCCGGAATGCGCTGACTGCGAGAGTTTCCTGAAGGCTTTGCCTCAATGTCGCAGAGTCTCTTCATGTGCGTCAATTTGTAGCGGAACGCGATGTCCGACAGGCCTTTCGGCATACGGCGCTTGCCTCTCACCGAGTACGGTCATGTCGCCTCAGTCCCGAACTTGCTCCATGCTCAGCATTCGACAGTGCATGACTTCGTGCGGAGGTTTGGGATCACAGACTTCTGAGACATGAATTTCAGAATGTCGACCTCATGCGATGCAGCCGATGTGACCTTCACATTTCCATTAGGCATTGTACTATTACTGACCCGAGCATTTTCGTCACACCCAGCATGTACTTACTTGAAGTGAAGAACCTCGAAACATTGAAGACAGACAGACAGACGGACGAACGGGCAGAAGGAAAGAGAGAGAGAGAGAGAGAGCAAAATGGCCTCTGCCAGCCATCAGTGATTCGCCTTGGACGCATGTCTGCCACCCTGCATCAAAAGAACACTCGACGTGCTGCCGTGCTGCAGAAGCAACTGTCGTGAAGAGCACGCGATCTGCAGCAAAGGCACTGTTCGACGGTACACACATCGCCTCGCCCAGGAACCCTCTTTGTTCCTGGCTCCTGTGACGTGAGATGCTGCCAAGCTTCATCAGCTGCTTCCATGAGCTTGGCAGGACGTGCAATTGCTCAATTAATTCGCATTCGCGCCAATTTTGGTGTTGCCCCGCCCCCCCCCCCATACCCCCACTCACGCCCATATACTTGGCGACATCCAACGATGTCCAACGGATCAAAGAGTCTTTGCATCGAAGCACTGCGCATGCTGCAGCTCGGTCAAGTCTCGTCCTTCTTCTGCTCACCACCTTCCAATGCCTGACAGGCCCGGCCCAGCCAACGTGCGCTGCAGCAGTTCTGAACTGTCGAGTTGTAGAGCATGCCATGCAATGCTGCCAACATGTTTCACAAATCGAAGATCCCAGCCGTCTGCCTGATGGCCGTGGCCTCCCGAATGATCCTGCAGCAGGGCACGAGGCAAGTGTTGCTCTAGGCTCATGTCTGCGCAAAACATGTACGTTCAGAAAAGTGCACGGGAGGTTTAGCCAAGATTCAATGTACAAGGCTCCGGACACACCGGGTCCATAGCTCATCTCCGGATGCTGCAACTTGGTTGACATGAGCTGGAGTCACAACAGAACCAGGGAATCGTCAACAATCGCCAACTGACTAAGCTTCCAGCAACTGTCCCTTTGCCACCGCCCTGTGTGCCTGCACTCCGCGCAACAGGGCCCATGAATAGCAGATTGCTTGCAGGCTAGGGCTTTCTTGGACTACATATTAGCAAATGACGATTCATTTTAACATACTGCCACACAATTACGGGCTTTCTCTTGTGAATGCCAAGCTGACTCATCGTGTCTCAAAGTCTTGGAGGCTGTGACAGAAAGCTGGGGGTTGAACCACCCAGGCGCCAAGGTGTCATTCCAGATATACCTGCGCTGATGAAGCAGATTTTGTCAAAGCTGCTTTGATGTTTAGTCCTAGCCAACAGATGACCCCGGCAGCCGCGCCTGGTCCATAATTCCTGCGCAGTCCAAACACAGATACTGAGTACTGCCCTTCCACTTCGACTTGCATTTCTGGGTGCAACACATCTCCGGGTGAGTCACCATCGTGCAGTTCCCACCCCTGTCGGCTCTCTCTGCAGAGCACAAGTCAAGAAGGGAGGGAGTGAGACTATGTGAGACTCATAAGAGCAGCTTGGAAGCCCGAGTTATCGGATCACTGCTGTTGCAGATCAGAGCGCACGGCCCGAGAAGTCTGAGTAGGGCACCGGAAATGCGACATGTCTCCCATTGTCGCTTGTGAAGCTTCGCAGCAATCACCTCAGACTGTCTCAGCGACGCGCCACAAACCTCGCTACCCCCGCAGCAGCAGAAGAGCTATCCCCGAATAGTGCGTCCGAGAGGCCGTAGGATAGCCACAGAGTGGCAAAGCTTCGAGCCGAAAGGGCAAAAGCTGCCAGCACCGACGAAGAACGTTCATTTTTCGGCACGCGAATGAGCAAGGCTGCTTTCACGGCTTAAGAAGCAGAGGCGAGCTCAGTTGCAGCAACATGTCTGCACCGGACAGCAGTGAGGCTAATGTCTGGGGCACAGGCATCCCTTCTGTCAGGAGCATGATGCAGCAAGTGCTGTCGTCCTCCACATGGATAACCTCAAGCGGGGTCACTGCGCCAGCAAGCCGAACTTCGTGCAGGAACCAAGCCCTGCCAGGGCCTCACTAACGATTTCAAGGCCGATCAGTTTTCGCGGCCTGGGGCTAACTGCACATCACTTGTCCACAGAACAGGCTGAAAGCTCTGAGACGGCATCCTCTTGAGGTCCCGAAGGCCTAGAGCACGAGCCTGTCACCACAGCACACTCCAACATTGCACGGAGCAGCTTGAAGCTGAGTTCACGGCAGTGTTCACTGCTCTGCTTTCTGATGGAGGCGACCAGAGCCTGTGGTGCTACGGAACGAACTGACGCCGTGCACAGACAGGAAACAAGAAAGTCAAAGTCTGGGAGAGCACAAAGAACCCGACTGGACCACAGGTCTGGCCGCAGCATCCACCACCTGAAGAAGGAAAAAGTGCGAATGGCTCGAACAAATTCGAAGACATGCTCGCCACGCTTGCCTCTCCCATGATGCCCCAGGCTCTATCGGCACCCTCTGGTGAAGCCGCGGCCAGGTTTGTCAGAACCGCCTTGGCAAATCTGCCAATAGAAACACTGCTCAAAACGATTCCGAGTCCCAGCTTCTCCCCAAACGAATAAACGCCTTGTTTAAACGCAAAGAAGGTCCGCAGACGCCTGTTGTTGGCCGGTCACATTAAGGCATCTGCACGGTAGCGCGTTTCCACTTGCGCGTTGGCCATGGCCTCTCGCTGGGATGGAGGGGAGCGACCCTTCTAAAGTGATAAGCATTCCACTGTCAACAGGCAGTCCCAGACCTCTCCGCACCCTGGCTCAACCTTCAGCGGCAGAAATTCGTGAAATCACTGCACCGCATCTTTGGTCGCGGGCCCCGAGGATGGTCGATGCCCGCTTCTGCGACCTGAAAGCTTCTGCGGGTCGACGACGGACTCAAGGCTACTGTCGCAGCATCTGAATCTGGGTCGCTAGGTAGCCAACACTATGCCACCCTCATCATCCATAACCTGCCGGAATGGATTGGATTGAAGGGCATCTCAGGCCGCCTCATCTGCCGCCAATGAGGGTCTGGCATAACAAAGCTCTGTAAGCTGATGCGTCCCGAAGGAGTCCAGACCTGAGAATGGACAAAACACCCGACCTCTGTCATCACGTGGCCTGCGCAATTCACGAGCAAGCAAGTGCTCCAGAAGTAGCTCTAGGGCCACTACTGAGCATGGCTTCGACTGCCTTGCCTGCAGCCTGGCAGTTTCGGACATGGCAGTGTGGTCTGGTTTACCTTCTCTAGAGATGCAGACCGCCTTTACTCTGCCGAGAGCAGCAGTGCAAAGAGGATCTCCATCCGGTGCACCTACCTGAAAAGCTAAGCGAGTGCCGCACCAGGTTGAAATTGGCAACACGAAGCTGTCCGAGCTTTTCTGGAAGCTGGGAGGCCCACCACTTTCTCAAACTCCTCTACGGCCTGATCAGCCCAATAGGATCGGAGTTCCACAAACCCTAAACCCAGGCCCAAGTCCCATCCCTGCCACCCTTTCTCGCAGGAGCCTTCTGCACAGTGGCAGGGGTCGCAGTCATCGCCTGTCGCTCCATGTCCGAAGCCTATGGATGCCTGCTGGAGACCGCCCGCGCGCCTCTGCAGCTGTCAAGCCCAGAGCCGCAAAATGGTGAGCCTCAACAGCCGGAGCAGTTACCTAACGACCTGAAGACTTTCTCGGAAGCACCAGCTGCGTGACACTATGCGGCAGTGCGACATGCTAGGCTCGCCACAGCTCGCGCTGCTCGTCGTATGGCTCGCTCGCGTTCGCTGGGAAGCTTTGCCAGCTCTTCAGCTGTTGCCTAGCCAGCTTCGCGATGCGCGATGCATTCACTCCGACAGAACAGCTTCACCAACAAAAAGCGTTCTAAAAAACAACTGCGCTGTCCAACATCCTTTTGATCTGCTTCAGGGAACGCGGAAAGCGGAGTCACTGGTAGTCGCAGTCTTCAGGAATCACGCTATTCACTGGTGTGTCAGTCCAAGCATGTTGCGGACCGTACTGCTCCTCGGGGCTTCAACCGCTGGCTGCAAAGATCTGTTGATCCGAGATCGCTTTGCCGCACAAGCAGGGAAAGCTTTCAGTGGAGTTCCCATGTCTCACAGCATCGTGAGTCGAAAGATGTCGCAAGAGCCTCGACGTTCTCGAGCTGCTGGGCCAAGCTGACATCCCGGCCACTGTCATGCGGACTCAATACCCCTTCGACTTGTCAACGACGGCCCGGAAACCAGAAAAGCCTTCTGTGATAAACTCGTCCAGTCGCTCCAGAAAAAGCTGCCAGTTGTCATGGGCACACCTTTCACCGAAGCTGATTCGCTTGCATCACGTCTTCTGAAAGGAAAAAGCATCCCCAAAAACCATTGCCAGCATGCTTCTGCGGCTCTGTTTTGCCATGTATGGGGCTGCGTTGTGTGGGCTCATCAACCTTTGGACAGCGATTCCTAGAATCTAGAAGTACCCAGGGCGAGCCGAAGCTGCCTGCCCTCTGAACCCCCGGAGACTGCTTGAGGATAGTTGAGGCTGCTAAAAGTAAAGGGTTTAGGAATTCGTTTGGCTGCTTTTTAAAGTTCGGGCAGTGACACGAGACATCTGAGTGAACAGGACTGTCTTGCGAAGCTTTCAGCGGCGGCACAAACTCTCGCAGCTCCACAGCGGGGAGTCCAGTGGCAAAGGCTCCTGTGCTCATAGACATCACATCTGACATCTTCAGTTTCAACCGCTTTCCGACCGGATGCGACGTGGACCAAGAGAGAAGAAACAAGGCTATCCGCAACAGCATCCTTCTCGAAGACGTCCAGCGCTGCCCCCGCGATCTTGCCGTGCAACAACCTCGCCAAAATTGTCTGCCGACGGGTGCTTCCGCACGAGCGCCGAGACATTGAGCTCCAAGCACATCTTCCAAGGCTGCCTCATCCACACATGAGCCTCCAGGGCTGCGGGCCGAAACGATTCCCCGCGAAATTTGCATGTTAGGTCCTAGACTGACATGGCCTCGGCCCAGCGAAATGAAGACTGCGCTGGGCTTCATGGCCTCAGAAGCGGAGGGAAAAATGGATCTCAGCACTTCAGCCTCTCAGGTCTGCTTTCACTGATCTTACGTGTAGTGCTTTGGATTGCTGCTGCTCACTCTTGTGAGTGCGAAGCATCGAAGCTAGAAGTTTGAGGACCTGCAGGGTTTGAAGCCGTGATGAGGAAGGGACGAAGTGCTTGATAAGAACCGAAACTAGCACACGAAGAGATGGGCAGGGAAAGCGGTACAATTGACAATGTAGACATCCTGCACAAACAAAACATGCCTGGGAGTTGCTTAGGCAGTTCCCGTGTGTTTCATATCCCTACTGCTACAGAAGGCTCGCAAAGCTGCACACTCATCATGGCAAAGGTTCATCGCAAGGCCCGGACATTCAGCTCGTCTGCCTCAGATCACTGCAGGGAGAAATTGGTTCAAAGCCATTTTGGTAGGCTAACATCTCCACAGCAGAACGGATGCAAGGAAAAACCACGCCTGAGAAAAAAAACATTGGTCCCGCATACCATGCAACCTTGTGTCCCTTTACGATACCTCTTCCAACAGAATGAGTTGCAGAGAGGGTGCTCCGCAGCAGTGGTACGTTGCAGAGCCACCAGGCAGTGTACAAACAACATAGTCGGACTGCTTGAACACTTCCTGCGGCAATGAGTTGAGCTCAGAACTCCGACCTTTGTCGTTTCCTACAAGGCAATGCTGGCAATGCTGTGTAGAGATTTGTTGCGCACTGGTATGCATGCCTGCTTTGCGCCAACTCCGTCGCTGGAATAGAAGACTTCGTCGGCCAATTCCTCACCCGAGGCTCCCCGGGTACTCCGCCAAGCAAGGATCCGCATGCCAAAGGCCTTGCACAGGCGGGCCGTGCACTGTGCGATATCGCCGAAACCAATGAAGCCCACTGTTTGACCGTGGAGTTCGTTCATGATGAACTTGTCCCAAGTCTTTGTCGTGCGATTTTTCTGTAATTTCGGGATCTGCTTGTTGAAGTGCAGCATCGCTGCAAGGGAGTATTCGGCCAGGGATCTCGAGAAAGCTCCCTTAGCATTGGTCAGCGGGATCTCCGAAGCCCCTGGCAGGGAGTTGAGCACCGGCACCAGCGTGTCTACTCCCGCAGCCAGGCTATGGATCCACTTCAACCCTGACAGATGTGGCCAGAGGTCAGCCACTGCTGCAGAGTCGCCACCAAAAACGAGAATCTCCACAGCCTGCAGAGCCTCGAACTCGTCCTTGAAGTCAGCTAGAGAATTGCCAACAATCCAGGATGCTGATCTCCTCTTCCCATGAAGGGGCCGTGACCAAGCATACTTTCACCATATTGGCCCGAATCGTTAATCCAACTTACTACTGGTATCTACTAGTATACAGTACACCTGCTGTCATACTGGATTGCTCTCTTGTCCGAGGATCTGGGAGAGTTGCGGAAGGCATTCCACAACAGCAGCGCCATCGGCAGATAGTTTATCCACAATCACGGCAACAACAGGCATGGAGGCACGGAATCTCCCAAGCGAAGACTACCACATCCACATGGCAAAATGGCAACGGCAAAATTTGCAATGAAACATCAGCCGAGTCCAGAGAGCTTTGACCGCTGAGGCACGGGCACTGAACGCAGAGAGGCTATCCCCTGACTTTCCCTCAAAGTCCAGCGGCGCATACTCCTGGCATCTTTTCCCAGCCACTGTAGCTTACACCATCCGAGTCCGAGTCCGGGAAGCCTTGAGTCGTCGATGCCGCCCCAATTTCTCTACATCGGCCAGTGCTCGGCCACCAGAGCGACCACCTCATGAGCACAAGCACAGCATGGAGATGGAGCACAGGAGGCCCCGAAAGCGATTTCGCTCGATAGCGCGAAGCTTCGGCGCTTGAGCGCCCTACCACCAACAAGCAAGCGAGCATTCCAAACTTCTGGTTGCCTCAGGCAGACAAAGTTGATTCCAAATGTGGGATCACCCCCACTATGCGAAAGGTCTCGTAACGTCTCGATACAAACTTCGGAGCTTCAGAGCTTTGTCATGTTTCGAGCGAGTCTGAGTGCGCAAACGGCGGCTGAGAGTCGCCTGCCTTTGGCGGCGTGCACCTCGAAACAAGTCAGACTGAGCTGGACCGCCGGTGCACAGCGCTTGTCTGCAACGTCGGATATGAGGGCATCACATCACTGCGCGACAACCTCCAACGTTGGCTACCTGCCGGCATATCAGCAAGGAATCGGAAGTCGCTGCCAAAAGACGATCAGTAACAAACTTGATGACAATGAATCATGGTGTGGGTGCGGGGAGAAGGGGCGCACCAGCACCCGCTGCCCCAGGACTAAGAGCAATGCCTCGCAGTGATTTAGGAATGCGCCCCTATGGACTTCTTCTCGGGCTTGCAAGTCCAGCTGGACGCAAATCCTGAGGATGATGCCAGGCCACAGCCTGAGCGCAGGATCATATGAGCAATGAAAGCCTATAAAGAGGTACACGTACTGGTATATGTAGACCACACGGTCACGAAAAACTGCTGCAGCTACCGCTGCCACGACGACCACTCCTACTCGGCCTCCACAAGGATGACTGCTGCCACTATTCCTGTTTGGACTACCTCTTGCTGTTGCCCTTGTTCCTGTCACTGCCGTCCAAAAACTTCGCGCAAGGCAACACGGATCAATCTGTGGCCTGAATATCGCGCATTGCTCTCTAAGAGGGACTTGTCCAAGTCTTCGATGGCCTTGGCAGGGATGCCCGACACAGAGTCGAAGGGTCAACGTCGAAGTCTGATTCAAACGCATTCGCGAAGACTGGCCCAAACCAATACAAAACTGGCCTGGTGGACCATGTCGATCAACTCGAAATCTTCCGGCCTGGGATTGGCGGGTGAATGAAAGCCTGCACGTCCGAATGGAAATGATCGTCGGCAACTTCCCAAGCTATGCCAAGTAGCTCGTCCTGACGAGCGCTAAACCTAAGAGGTTTTGGCAACACTTCCACGAGCACGCGGAAAGGATGATGCACGACATCTCGAAAGATACTGCAGGTCTCCAGTCATTCGGGGCAAGTTAGGTGTCCAGCCGAGGCAGAAAGAAGGTGTGGAATCTTTGCGCGCAGAACAATGCTGCAGCCTGATTGCGTGGCATGCCCAATTAAAATCTTCAGTGAAATCGAAGATGCAAGGACTAGCTCCGGGCGCTGGAGTCACGAAGGCCATCAACCAGTAGGAACATTGCCGCAGGCCGGTCCTTCATGTGTCAACGCTTAAACTTAAACCTCTAGACTCGAAACCCGAAAGGCCCTAAAGCCTCAACCCCTAAACCCCCAAACCTCTAAACTCTAAACCCTAGACCCCTAAACCTCTCTCGCAGGCGGGCTCACCATGAAAAGGAGAGGCTGCTTGAGAAGATGGCAAGTTCGATGGAGCTCGGGCCTCGGCGATAACACATGTAGGTCTTTGGCATTCAGGGCTCAGGGTTTAGGGCTTAGGGTTGGGGTTTTTGGCTTAGGGTTTCAGTGTCTTAGCTCTAGGGTTTCGGGCTCTTTAGGCTTCTTGGGTGTGCTTCAGGTTCAGCGGTATCAAGCCTGGCCTCGATGCAGCTTTGCGTGTACGGTCCAGCGAGTCCAGTGAATGGGGTTTGCGGGTTGAGGAGATGGGAGTTTCCGAAAATTAGGGTACCTTATTTGGGGGTCCTCATAATAAGGATTCTACTATCCAGGGTACGAAAAAAGGGTCCCCTATCGGAAACTCCCTCAAGCTTGCCTACGGTTTGGACCTCAGTAGGACCACCCAGAACATGGATCAGGGATTGGAGATCTTCTGTGTCTTGTTGGGTCATAAGATCTCATCACCCCTTCTGATCTCTTGTCCGTGAAGTGCTACACACCGCAGGGCTCTCAGACAGCATCATCAAATACTCTTGCTCTTACACTTGACGTGACCACAATCTGGGAGACATCTTACATTTTTGAAGCACGATACACACACACACACACACACCAACCAAAAAAAAGTCTCAAGCTTCTCCCCTGCCCAAGAAGGAGTCTCGCACTTGCACTTAGGAAGTTGTTGGCGTGAGGCTGACCACGACTCTTGGGCGCACGGCAGCAGCACTGCCATGGTGTCTTTTCGACCACCTGCTGCTGGCAAGCACGCCGAACCTGGCCAAGCACTTCAAGCGAGCTCTGCTCTGAACCGACCCTCACCGAGGCTCAAGCCATTCGAGATGTGCACTGGCTGAGTCTCCGGATGGTGCCTTGGTCCGGGGTGAGACTCGCAAGACGCGACACGGACTTTGCAAGCATGGCAGGCTGCAAACACCCTGATTTGAGCAGCTGGCGGCGTTCCTGTTTGGACCCACCTTAGACCACACTGGGCGTCGCAACGCACCGCAAGCAACGCTAGGTAGCATTGATGCCTTCGTCTTAGGAGCCTAGACAAACATTTTCTTCCACTCAACCTCTTTGATTTCTGGATCTTCTCCGCCGTGAAGCCTGGCCGCCTGGAAGGGGTGCCTGCATCTTGCGGGTGTTCGGGGTCCTCGAGTCCTCGCTGCGTCCATCAGGCGCTTGTCGCCGCCGGGACGTTTTACTTGATCTGATCTGATCTTGCTCGTGCAAGAGGCTGGGCTGGGTGGAGCACCCGCCGACGTGAAGGGCTTGGCATGCTCAAGCCACGAGCTCCAGGAAAAGCTGCAACTCACTGCCGCTTCATCAGCTCCACCAATTGATGCCTGGTCGGAGCAGTGTGTGCTGTGGCAACTCGGCAACACCTCCAAGGCTGTAATCCCACATGCAAACCAACAAACACGAGAGGCCTTTGGAGGATTTCCTGAGAGGAATGTAAACGGCTCAGCGTCTTGGATTTGCAAAGAAAACTGCTGCATGAGGCTCTCTCTAAGAGATGCATCGAACAAGGCCAAGATTCTTGCCCGCGGCCTTGCCGAGCGTCTGAGGCCTCAATGTGCGAGTGCTATGGATTTATGGGATGGTCACGTCTGCTGACCGAGTCTAAGCATCACACATTGGTTGTCTGGAGTGATCCGCTGCAGGGATGGGACCGGTCCATTTTGGATGTGGTGCCATCTGGCCTTTGCCACCTTTGCTGCCTTTACCGGCTTCCACAAGAGGTTCTCTGAAACGCAAAGAGTTTTGACGGAGTAGCTCCTCGCGACAGGGTACACACCAAAACTGAACGACGCAGACAGGCTAGACAGCAGCTGCGTGAGGCGCGCCCTATGTCCTGCAGCAGCGACACGAGCTCCTTGTCTTTCATGCCGCCGTCTCTTGCAAAGGCGGTCCCGCCATCCGTTGAGATCCTTGGCTCTGGCTTGCTCTTTGCTAAAACCCCGATCCCAGGTCTCATGACTAGTTATTCAAGCAGGTAAGCAATGGCGTGCTGATGTCTGTGGAATCCTCAACTGCGGTCATGCCTCTGTTCGGCACACTCGAAAACGGCATCCTGCCAGTTTGCATGGCTGCTGATCAAACGACCAACTTGCCACAAGATTCAAGTTGATGCGCAGTCTTCAGACTGCATGGCAGACATTCCCCAAGCGAATGTTGCAGAAAATCGTACGAATGCAAGCATAACCTTACCTGGAAGCTAAACTTAACTGCCCAGGCTGCAACCCCCGCCCACAACAAGTTCCTCAAGTCTGCTTCGCAACACCAGGACCAAGTGAACCGTGTCCTGGACTCGCCACAGCGAAAAAGCTCTGGTACAGTCAGGCATGGTTGTTGATAGCATCGCAATGAGTACTTGAAACTAATTCATCCCAAGCTTCCGGAGGCACGGGACCGATCGGAATCCAATCGGCAACAACCACACTTCTTCCTTCCTGCCAAGCACGACGAGTGATGCGGCATAGCCTGTCTCCTCTCTACCAAATGAATCGGAGATGATGGCTTCATACTCGAGCGAGAGATCCTCGGAATCCATTCGGATCTCCGAATTCGTGAATGGCTTGAGCAATGCCAACAGCGGAGGCATGTTGGTGAGCTGCCTGGCAAGGTGCTTGCTCACCCGTGAATCATAGACCAACCATGACCAGAGCAACATGCTCAACTAGAGAACGTTTGCCTGCACCGTGCAGGTCTCCATCCCTCCTCTTGCACTCGATCCAAGAAGGCAAACAGAGGCGAAGGAAAAACCTTGATGTGCAAAGACATCAACGCACAAAAACCGAGGGTGTCAAGTGAAGCCGGTTGGTGAGCCCGATCCCGCTGCACCGGAATGCTGCCAGGACGCAAAAGAATTCTTGCAACAGTTGAGCGAGGTTTTGTGAACCATTCCTTTGACCTCCTGCAAGTGACGGCACATTCTTTGCCCGCCCTGCCCCCCCCCACCCCCCATGCACGCTTGGCTAGTCGCTCGTCCTCCTCAACCCAGAGATGCCGCTTCTCCTGGTGCACTGCCTGAGAACTGGTGTTGAGAAGCAGATTGCGCGAAAATGCCCGGCGACGGGGCCGCAGCCATGTGTGGCAAAGCAGTGGCGAGGCCGAGCAAAACAGCTCCCCATTGCCACTCCTTGATTTCAGTCCCTGCTTCTCCAAGTCCAATCAAAGTCTGTCATATTCATGGCTGCACCTGCGGTCCCCAATCACGGATGGCTGTGTAGCTTCGCTTTCTGCTGGATGGGCCGAAGTCGTCCTGTCCATGCTCCGAGTCGAAGTTCAACAGTACTGAGAGAAGTCTAAGTGGATTCCGACTGCTCCTCATCCAAGGGCTCCGACCCAGCCATGCCCAGGGCTCCCAATGCATCAGCCTGTAGCAAGCCACGTAGCTGTTCAGATGCATCGTAGACCTCAGCGATGATTTCTCTGCAAAAGAGCCGGTGCTGTAGCATGCAGGTGCCCGGCCTGTCTCATGATAGCAGGATGGAGGCCCTCCGAAGCAATGAATCCTGAGCAGCTACTGCATGGTCGGCTCATTTCGATGCTGCAGAACAGGCAGCTGCAATTTCACTAAAAAGAGTTCTGATGCCGGAACTAGACTACCACAGCAACATGCCCGCGCTCGATGCTGTTTGTTTGAGGAACTGTTTGCGGCGTTCTCGCCCACGGTCTCCTTCAGCCGCGCGTACTCCTCGACAGTTTTCGATCTGCCCGGGCCATGTGAAAGATGGTCGAACTCAAGCGACTTACTGCAAAGGCTGGCGTGAAGGATGCGATGCAAGAGGCTCCTGATGCACAAGGCCCAGAAGAAGCTGGTCCTGCAGATTTTGGATGGTAATTCCCTGCAACACAGAAGCTGATGGCCCGGCAGCAATGTCGGTCCGAATGCTTGTGCGAACCTGGGTTGGCAGAGCACTTTCAGATACCCCACTAGGTGTGGTGCTCACTTCACCTGCCAGGCCGCCCTGATACTTCTGCGAAATTGACCATGGCAGATAGCCTGCCGACCTCTCGAAATGGAAGGGCTCGTCGAAGGACATGGCAGCACCTTATAGGCCATTGCATCACGCTTCACAGAATGTGGGGGGCTTGGCTTAGCGGCTTAGCCGCCTTAGCCTCGCACACAGCGTGACCATGGCGTCGCCCAGTCCGAAGAACCAGTGCCCCATCAAGAGGGCCAGGCCCACCTGGAGCCGGGAGCCAGCAGTGCCAGCGGACAGCGGATGAGCGGACCCCCTTTGAAAGCGCGGCTCGAGTCGCATGAGGATCCAAAGGCAAGCGGGCCAGAATCCGTCCGAGGCTGGTGAGGTTCTGCTCATCGTCCAGAGCCCTGACACCATCGTGCACGGAGCAGATATGAGTAGATCAAGCCAGTCAGGAAAGTGTCATCACAGCGTCTGCCTCACAAGCGTGAGCTGTGATATAGCATGAGTCACCTTAGCTGAGATGCTGGCCGAAAGCATGCGACACCCCTCGAAGAACAAAAAACATCCCCTCCCGAAACAGGTGCCCACACAGGCAAGGTCGTATTTCTAGCTCGTACACTGTACGTCACAGCTGGGCCATCCCATGCGCGAGTCAAATGCACTTGAGTTCCTCGCGAAAGTCTCGCGCGGAGGATCTGGGCATTGAGACAGCACCATTGCGATGTCGCCCAGCTCCAATGATTTCACCAACAGTGCCGCACCTACCTCAGTGGCTCTACAGCTCTACGGCTCTATTCCGACATGGGCCAGATCCTAGACTGCAGCGAGCTGAGGGACCAATGGCATCCGGGTGAGCTCCGGTGGAACTTCGTCCTCGCGCGCAGCAAAAAACCCCGGAAGCGTCGACTTCAAGCTTGCGAGATGGACACAGAAACTCACTCCTCCAAACCTTCCGTGAAGCGCAGCCGACTGCAGAGTCGGAAGCAAAGCCCCGGTCTGGTCCGACCGGCCCGGCCCTGCGCGAAAAAACGCTTTGCGGCGCAGATCTCGCGCAGATTCTGCCATCGCCTTCCGCTGATCGAGGTTGTGGCGGCCAGTGAAGACCACATCGGTGTATCTGGGTCGTTTTACGCGGGGCAGCCAACATGACCCGCCGGAAACTCAGTCGCAAACGACAGCTTCGTGGCTTCTGCGAAAAAAGTCAGCTTCACCTTCGGTTTGACAACATACCAAGCTGAGATTCCTGCACCCCATTCCATCGAGGGCCAAGGGCAAGACTTTACAGGAGTCGATGACCTGTCCAGCTGCATCGGGAACAGGAACTGCCGGATGCTCGGATCGCTGCCGCGGTAGCCGTACCAAGTGGCACACGCAAGTCACATCATCAATGGTGATGGAAGACTCGGCAATATTGGTGGCCAGAATCACCTTTCCAGTTAGATCATGTGCACATGCCGGCTGCTCTCGCAGTTCAACTAACTCGTGCCTTGGCGAGCCCTTCCGGCGCAGGATGGAAGGCATCCATTTGTGCTTCCTTAGGAACCTGCACAAGCTACCGCTCAACGTTTCCGCCACGCACAGGAGTCCCACTTGTCCTGCCTGCGAATGGAGCATAATCACTTTGCAAGACTTGCTGAGGACCTCGTCCGCCTCAAGGGGAAAAAAGCTGCCGGCAGCCCGCGAGCCCTTCAAGATCTCCAAGGCTCCTTGCCTCCACAAGCTTGGCCAAGATGCTCATGAGACTCCAGCTGGGCAGAAACACCAGGACCTCCCAGAGTCTCCGAGAAAAAACTACACTCAGGGAAGCGGCCATCCGTCCCGGGGACCCAGCAGAACCCGTGTCGGGAGAGACGGTACCTTCTGTGACCAAAGCTGACAACAGGTCCTGCAGCTCAAGCAAACGAACTTCAGCGACGAGCACGTCAAGTGGCGAAGTGGCAATGTGGTTTGTCGATGCGGTCCTTGGTCAGATCCAAGGGGATTTTCTGCTCGGGAAGTGCCCGCAAAGCCTGCAATGTGTCGGGCCATTCATTTCGTCA